GCCCCTCTGCCGGCCCCCCCGGGCTGCGCCCGAAGCCCCCGGCCCCGCCATCGCCAGGGGACTCGGCCGTCCCGATTCACCGCTCCGACAAAACTCAGGGAGGGGAAAGACCTGTTGGACCATGCTTCTCCGGACGAGCGCAGGAATACGCCTCTCCAACAAAGCCTGCGGTACTCCGATCGCGCTGTTTTAAACCTCTTATTTATAGCCCTTGACTAGATGGTGAAATCCTTAAGAGAAGGCAATTCCGGCCCTACCGCGTTTTTGGATTGGACCTCTACTCGCTCCTCGACTAAAAATAGCAAAATTTGTTCTTCTATCAAGAGCTGCAAAAATCTTTGGCCCAATTCCTCCGGTGCTTATATAATCCCCGCGCTGAAGTATGCCCGCCGGTTCGAGCAGAGACAGCTCTCGTTTGCTGAAGGTGCAAGCGGGAGCAAAATCAAGACTGCTGCCTGTGAAACCAGCGTTACGGCTTGAACTCGCACAGGCGGCAGATATATTGACTAAAAAGGGGTTACAGCCTTGGAGTCATAAAATTGCACTTGTCCTGCAGGGCTGATATAATTGAAATGCACGGAGCTTTCACACATTAAAAAAAGCTACAGTCTTCCTGACGCACAGACAATTAATGCTTCAGGACTGAATTATTATAAAGCCACTTTTTCTGAATATAACCAGCATTTTTTCCTGTAAGCCTCAGTCAGGCTTTCTCTCTGAAAGCCAGAAATCTCAGCAGCTTTTCTGCGCCGGCAGAGGTTGCTGATGTGGGTTTCACGACAGATTGACCATTAGAACGAGAACGTCCTTAATCTGAGGGCTCACGGTGGCCCCAAGACGTTCATCGCCGTTTTCCTTCTGCACTGACATTAACCCCTCGCCTGCCGCTTAATCCCTGCGGACTCCCTCGGGCAGCACCCCTGCCCGCGGCTCTGAAGGCACCTGCCGCTATTTCAGTCGCAGGGCACCGCGTAACTCTGCCCACGCCCCCCAGCCCCCGCCGGCACCCGCTGCTCTCGTTCCTGTCCCGGCACCCCACGTCGCCCAGCTACTGCAATGCGTCTCCCTCTCAGCGGCATCTCGCGCTGTTCGAGCCTCGCTCAGCTTGTGGGCAGAAATGGTGTGTGTTTGCTAGAGCAATGCTGAGAAACGAACTTCTTCTTTAAATAGTCGGGGTCAGAACCGTTTCTCTTTTGCCGTAAGAGCTACGTGAAACCAGGTGCGGTGGGAAGCGAGCCTGTAAAAGCTCCTAATAAGCACTCTTAAATCACGCGCTTGAAGAACTCAGAGCAAGCGGCTGGAAGCGAAGTTTCCTCTTCCTCCTCTCCCCTGAACCGGGCTGTGCAACTGTTGCTTCTGTGCTTTGTGGGAGTGAAATCAAATGTCAAATATTCTGCTTTGGAAGAAGTTGGCAATGAAACATGAAAGGCTCATGGAGAGCTCAAAGAAACTGCACGTAAATTGGAGCGAAGCACAGACAGGGCTGGGACGGGCGCCAGCGCGAGTGTGGAAGGACTGTACGCCTAACCAGAACTCCAGATTTTAGGATGAAGCAACTACTTTCCCTAACTCATTTCGGCTTAAAGCTGATCCCAGCAGCTGCTAACTGAGCAAGATGGGTTTGATACAGAAACGATACATCAAGTTTTTGTTGGGAAGCACCTATAAGTCAACACAGTTTACTGTGCATACCGTGCACAAGCACAGCCCAACAAAGAAGATGGCTTCTCACCCGTTGGTTTGTACCTAGCTTCACAGCCAACACAAAAAGCTCAAGGAAGACCTGCTCCTGATGCGTGTTAGGGGAGCACGTGGTTCCTTCCCGAATCCCTCAAAGTCTGCCTTTTTAGAAAGGTGAGTTTCGGCATAGGCATGCATCCTATTCCTTTCTCAGCAGGTATTTAACATCACAGGCTCCAGACAATCATCCCCTACTACGTTAATATGCAAGAGATCAAGTTTAAGAAAAGCTACTGTCTATGTCATTTTGCTGTGGGCAGAATTCCATTTTCTTCTAGATGTCAAGACTTCTGCAGATATTTTTACTGTTTATTTTCAGTACTTTCAAGGTCACTTCCCAGTATTTACAGCCTCAGATCTCTGAAGTTGGTAGACCTTTCCCCTTTTCTTGGTACTGACCACTTTTAAATGATCAGGCAGCTTTAACATGAAGCATTTGGGGGGGGGTTGGGGAATACTCTCCCCTCTATTCTGCTAAACTATCACATTGCCAGGATTAGGGCAGCGAGGGTCGCAGGAGCTAACCAATTCCACACGTGACAGCATGCCCGCACACGTCTTCCCAAGGGCAAAAGGCACAAGCCCTAAAGTAAATCCCGTAAGGAAACAAGGGATGGCAAGAGAAGGCTTCGCTTCTGGAGTCTCACCCAAGGAGCGAGTACTTTACCTGATCCATAGCTTGAAATGGAATTAACATTCCAGGAATACTGCATTATTTGCTAATTCTCTTCACATCATTTTGTTTCACAATTAAGCAAATTAGCACTTTGATGAATATTAAGACTCTCTCGCCTCATAAAAGATGAGTTGGAGGCATCCCCACTGGATTTTGCTAAAAAATCGTTTCACATCCGCTCTGGTTGCTTTGTCTCTGGTATGAGCACATGAAAGGCTGCCTGTGAAAATGACCGTGACATTAACATTTTAATGAAACCATTATTTTTCAAAAGTTTGCAGAGATCCTCATTTTTAGTGTCTAAACCAAGTCCAAGCTGGGATGTTATGGCTGTGCTTTATAGCTGCTCATGGCAGTGTCTTTCACTAAGTTGCCAAAACAAGCACAAAATCTCGTCTCTAACCACAGGGATTCGTGCTAGTTTTGGAAGGACCTATCAACTCTATAGTGCAATTAGAATTGTTTAGTAGCTGCTCGTTCTCTACTGCCTATCAGTAGATCCTGGAGCGCTTTACACGGATACCTCTCTGCAGCGCCTCTCGGAGGAGGTGGGAGGGAGAATAGAGATTTCTTTACCAGCAGATGTGGAAAGCTCTTAGTGACTAGAGGGTGAACTCAATACAGAGCAATTTGCTGACTTCTTCAGTTGTAACCCTTCTCCTGTCTCTACCACCCACAAGGCACCAGCTCTATTAATCTGAATTACACAGTCATGAGTAATAGCCGCTAAAATGCTTTGAGTCAGTGAACCCAAAAGTCTAGCTTAATGGTTGGGACTTCTTGTGTTTTCCTGTCTCAGAGAAGAATGGAAGATCCCAGATCTGTTACAGCTGAGGTCCTGCTTTATTTACATGGTGCTCTCTTAGGCAACAGACTCCAGTGGACTGCAGGCCACAAATTTCCATCATAATCATTTGGTTTCGTTTTGTACAGTCTGGTCCCCCATTGCACAGCGGCAGTTTATCATGCTCATAAACAGGTTCAGAGGAAGGGCCAGGCGGACAGTAAATAGCCGGGTGTCTCAGAGATGCTGACACAGTCCGGGAGGCAGCATCTTGGTTACACGCTCTCCCTCTCTCTGCATCTACATAAAGTCTCCTTTAGGTTGGGAGCGAGTTAGGAGTCTTTCTGCTGAGACCTGCCTTACAATTTTGACATCCTCCAGGAAGATTTAGTATGGTGAAACAGTCTCCAAAGAAATCGCCTCCAGGGAACAAGAAGCTGCTTCTAAGCTCTGCAGCATTTGGCCGGTCAGGACTGATGTACGTTAACTGGTCTCCCACAGTGAAAGGACTGCGTCCGTATCAATGTATTCACATCACCCCTGTCTTATAAGCTGTATAACCAATGGATTTTTCCTCACAAGACCATGGTAAAATATAGGAAAAAAATACTCTAATTTTAAAGATGAGGAAGACAAAGACTACTTGGTTTGCTCATGATTACGCAGAGCCAAGAAGGGACGTTCACAATCCTAGGAGCAAGGCTCGTCTAGCAGACCCGTACTGCTGTCCTACCAGGGTGCACGTGCGTGCAGGACAGGAGGAGCAGGCAGGACCGGGCAGGAGCAGGGGATGTACCGCGGTCGGGGAGAGCAGAACCGGCACGGCAACGAGTGGCACCGTGAAGACAGTCCTACTGCACCTGCCCACACCATGCTTGGTTCCAGCTCTGTGAACTCAGATCACTCATTGCAAACACTTCAATATATTCACAAATAAATAAATAAATACATCATAAAGAACGCTCAAACAAAGCTATGCAAAACTGCAACCTGACAAACTCACTGCAGAGGATGAATAGGTCATGCTTGCGGTTGCGGATATCTTTCCTAATCAGTGAAAGTTCAAATCCCTGAACCACGTTTCCCTCCATTCTGCAGCTCCGTTCCCTCCGCAGCAGCTCCATTCTGTTTCAATACTTGCAGATAACAGTAAGCTCAGACAACTCTTTCTCCCCTGCGCACAAAGGGCAGATAAAACTAAACTTCCTCCAGCATTCTTCCTACCCATATTGATCCCTGCACTGTGGAGCTCAACAGATGGCCTTAGCTCAATGTGCACTGACCCCATCCTCCGTACGGAAGGAAGCTGCAGCTATGGAGGTACAGAAGAACATGTCTTACCTGTCTTTCCGACATGACATATAGATACTTCTGATCAATGGAGAAGGCCATGTCTCGAAGGACAGGGCTCCCGTCCTTGAAAACTGTGACCATTTCATATTGAATTCCACCGTGGGGAGGACCATCTGCTCGGATCTGGAAGAAGCACAAACAGATTACAGGTGACTTCACAGCAGCCAAATGCAGATTTTTTTTCAGGGAGGAAACCTGGTAGAAGGGAGAGGGGGAGGAAAAGGTAAGAAAAAGAATCAGATTTAAAATTGCAGTTTGCAACTTGGAGATATGAAGCAAAGACAGCTAGCACGTACCGTGAACGTGCAAGAGCTAAAGCAGAGATTCTTTCTGCACTGAGGTAAACATTATTTCCCCAGTCCCTGAGAAGCAACGGGAAAGTTTTCTGCTGGGAGGAGAGCTTACAGCCAGCCAGTGTGCTATGACCAATCATAGGCATCCAAAACTAAAATGACCGTAAGAAAACTTTACAGATCCTCCCCAAAATAAACCTGGAAACAAGACCACAAGACTCCACAAAGAGCAGAACTAGGACGAATTACAGCAGAATTCTTTTTTTCCAGATGGATAAAGAATGAGACTTACAAAGCTTTGCAGGTAACTCCTCCACTGAGCAACGGATGAGCAACAACGTGTCCTGAGCACACTCACGAAGAACTCAGTTACTTCTGCACGCTTAGGACCACGTTCCCAAGTACTCCAGACCTGTAACTAAAACTAATTTCTCCGAGCAGTTCCTCAGACTTTCACCCTTGTGCTGCACTCTGAGTATGTGCTGTTTATTCAAAACTACATGGAAGCTGAGCTTTTTTGGTGCAGTGAGAGAATAGCGTGTCCTTAAGTACTCACATGTTGATGAAAATCACCCCTTTCCACCACTATTACAGCCTGCTGCAGGCTACTCTCATGCAGTAGCACCATCTGAAGAGGCGACCGGCTTGCAACAAACACCATCTCCTCCTGCTGCCACTTACGCCCCCTCAAAACAGCACCTCCACTTAAAAATTCTCAGATGATTTTGTCATCCCATTACTTTGAAATATGCAAGATTCAGCACAGCAAGATTAGTCCAGCTCATACTGCTGAGCAAGCAAGTACCTAACACAGCGGCCATATGGCTTGTTCAGTTTGACGGACTCCTAGTATAAATCTACCACGCCAAAAGACAACTCCCTGCTCCTGCAGGAAAACCTGCCCAAGATGTGACAAATCCCATTGCCACCAGGAGCTGCTGATGTTTAGAACATATCGTCTCTTCCAAAAGTTAATAATTTATAGCCTTGGGAGCTGTGCAAGGGGGAGGGAGGAGGATAAACAAACAATTTACATTGTCTTTCCTACCAGGATTTGCATGTTTGAATAGCCATTTGATTGCAGCGTGGTGTCTACATAACATCAAGCAGAAAACACTGGCAAACGTCAGGCAGGGAGATTAGACCAGTCACGCGAGCCAACGACTCCATGGAGCCCACTGAAGGCCCAGTGGCTCATAGCGACAGAGATACTGTTACATGCTGGCCAGGAAAGCACCGTGCATGCTGGGCGTTTCGCAGCACGTGCACGCTGCCCTGCTAGGAGAGGGAAGCACGGGGGACTGCCAGTTCCTGGAAAAACCTCTTATCACAAAGATGCCATCTGCTGCAGTCTCATGCCGAGCTGTCTTGCCGGATCCCGTTTTGCTGCTCAATTACTCCATGCCTGACTGCTGTATGGAGGCAGAGGCCTCAAGAACCAGCTTTGGACAAGTCTAAACCTTCAGAAAAGGCAGGACAGAGCAGCTAAGAGCGATATCTGTTTTCTTTGGTTCACAACCCCAGGAGTCAAGAGAACAGTTTGTTAAGCGGCTTAAGATTTGTTTGAGAAATGCATCAGCCCTGCTGGAAATACAAGAATGTTCTTACTTTCACAGAATCCTACCCCTGCTTCCAAATATATCCACTTCTTTGCAAGAGCCCTGATGCCTCCTGCCACGTAAAGACATGTTTGGCATCCAAACACATTCATTCTCTGAATTCCTCTTTCTTCCTTACCTTTTAATCTGTATTTATTGAGTTATAAAAAGAACAGTAGACGTGAATTTGAGTAAAGGAAGAGCTAGCGTAAAATCCATGGCCAGATCCAGGGATCCTCTAACACATTAAGCAGGCAGCCCAAAGCTGACTCAGAAGTCCTGAATTTACAGGAAGAAAAATCTAAAGAAAGACAGATGATCAAATCCTGTCTTTGGGGTCACCCATGTAAATCTGCATGCTTCACTGACTTCACGAAATAGTGAGAAGCAGAGGCAGGTTTCCACCTGATGTTTCTCAGTGACGCAGTATGAGGCTAGTGGCTTCCTTGGCTTTCCAAAGCCCAAGCAGCTGGGAGCTGAGCTAGAGCCTCCCCTGGCGCCGGAGCCACCGCCTACGTGTGCGCCATCCCAATCCCCTCCCTACCGCCCGCTCCGAGGTCACGGGGAGACTCTGCAAAGTCACCTGAGGAATAAATAGCAGGGACGAGTTGTCAGAGACAAACAACTGCTTCCATGCAAATGTGTGATTAATGACCAAAAGGGGACGGAAATGCCGGACATGAAGGATCAGCCGCCTTTGTAAAAAAATCAACTGTTTTCCAGAGTTCCCCCAGGGGCACCAGCAGCTCGTTAAACTGAGCCTTTCTCCGGTAATGAGGTCAGACAGGGCTAATAAAGAGAGATACCACTGGACAAGGCTTCTGCTGGCCAATTCCAACTCTGGCAATCATGTTGCATCTATGGGCTGGATCTAATACCGCAAGCATAAAAACCCCCCTGCTCTTCAAACCCGGACAGAGCGCCGCCAGGCCAGAGCCATGGCCGGAAGCGGCATCCCAGGCTCCTGCCCTCCCACGGGACTGGCTTGTGCACGGGGCGCTGAGCTACTGCATCCCTTCCCGCACCTTATCCCTACACAGCTGGTTAAGACACCAGGGTCCCTTGGAGGGCTTCCCAGGGACACGGTGCAGCGGCCGCAGGAGGGAAGGGGAGCAGACCCACCAAAGACCTCGTTGCAGTCCGGATGCTGCACGCGTGCCCCGTAGCTACCGCTCGCTCCTGCCGGGTGGGCTGCTGGGCTGGGGCAACTCTAGCGCTGCCCTGCTGCGAGGTTCCTCGCACCTCGCCGTGGCCAGGCGCCCTGGCGAGGCATCAGCAGCGACGGGTGGAGAGACAGCTCCGGCCTTGCCCATCAGCCCTGCCGCGTGTTGGCTCCCACTGAGACAGCGGCAGCAAAACATGGACCTCCCGGTCCCCCAGGATGGGGAAAGGTTTCAAGCAGCGAGGCAGCACCGAGGCTAAGCCAGGCCTTGGTGGGGGAGGACCGGGCAAGGGCACAGCCAAGCCATGCTGGCTGCCGCCTCCAAGCCCTGCAGACCCCCTCAGCCTCCGTCTCTCGCCTCCGCTCACCCATCATTAAGCCAGCTGTTTAAAGCCGTTGCCATGGCAACGCTCTCGGAAGTCCTTCCATTGAGAAGTCTTATTGTGATTTAATTATTTAATTATTCCTCGCAGGCCGGGGTGGGCTGGGCCTCTGCCACGCACCCTCTGCGAGGCCTTGGGACGGCGGCAGGGCCCAGTCCTCCGGGCCACGCGCCGCGGCTGCCCGCAGGGACTCCTGCCTGCGGAAACACCGTGACGAGGAGCCCCGGCACAACGGCGGATGGGGAGCCACTGCCATCCCGCAGTCCTCCTCCACCTGGCCACCCGGATAACGCCACGACAGAGGCCCCGCTCCACGGTGCCCTGCCCAGTGGGGGAGAAGCTGCAGCCATTCACACCAAGAAGGTTCACCACATCCCTGCCTGAAAGTCTGGTTTCCAGGACAACAAATGATGATGTCAGAACAGGAGAATGATGACTCCAGGAAAGAAGAAAAAAGGGATCATCTTCACAGCAGGAAGCTTGTTGTTGACGTTTGGGGAGAGAAATAATTCCTCTAATTTATGGGTGCCATGGTATAGCACGAGTCCTTCCAGTGCCAGCCAACTAGGCAGATAAAATATGGTACCACTGACGCCATGAAGATGGGGGAGGGAGACGAAGAGACTGACATCAAAGTTTATCATTTTCAAAGGTGTGAGGCTTTAAGCCCCTCTTGGGGGCTGAGGGGAGGCCTCGTTTCTGACTGCTTGGGTCAGCAGTACTGAACCATCGTTATTTCACCTGTGTGATAGCAACCCCAAAAGCTCTGCGTTTGCTTCTGAGCGCAGGCTCCAAGCACAGCGATGCAGGAGAGAGAAGGAGCAGGACGGGGCTGGGGTACTGACGGTCACGCTTCTTCATCCCCCTAACTCTCCCACCTAACTAAGTCTAAGGGGTTCGGGACAAGGGATACATTCAGCAACGTGGAAGAGAGCAGAGCCAGGGAGGACAGAGCACAGGCTCTTAGGTTTGCACCTACTTTGGAGAAATCATTTGGGACAGATGCAGCACTTTCCGCAATCGCTCTTGATGTATGTTTACAAATACAGCCTGAAAAGTGCCTAACAACATAATCTGCAAATCCAAATATCAGCACTGGCTCAGAGTACCCAGGGCCAGCAGAACTCCGCACGTGATGAAACAGAAGGCTCTTCAGTTCAGGAAATCACAGTTCTTCAAAGGCACTGCAGAGATTTGTGTGTCTAATACCCCCACAATACAGACTGCAGGCATAAGCTCCGCATTATCTTAAGAGATTAGCAAAATACCATATTGTGTCATGTATATGTTGCAGCGCAGCACCCACGGTGATAAGCGCATGAGCCATTCAAGGATCTAATATGATGCGAAGCTCCAACATACCTATTGTATTAAAGTTTCTGTTATGTATTTTGCCCAGCCTGTATTAGATCTAAGATACATCTGGATTCCTTTCCAGTTCGTCCCAGCAGGTTCCCATTAGACGACACTGAATCCCTTTGTAGGAACTTTCCATGATTAAATTACCTGTCTGTTCTCATTATTAGTGTTTCAACGAGACTGACTCTTATGATGAAATGCTTGGTGCCAGAAAAACAGCTGAATAAGTCTACGCATGAAGGGACTGATTCCCTAGCCCAGATCCTAAGAGCAATGCAAGGCCACTCCTCGTTAACTCCTCAGGAACTGCAGCTTTTTCCCATGTACT